CACAATATGCTTAACTAAGTATTTTTTGTTGTTGAATATTAGAGATTTTGCAGATATTTTTTTATACATACATTGTTTAGATTTACTTATATATTTCTACCCCTTTTATAGAATAGAATAGAAAATCCCCCAAATCTACAGCAGCAGAAAGATTATTGAAAATGGTCACACAAATGAGGACCTTAGAAAAATGTATAAGAATAACATAATAGGGAAGAGTTAAAATATAAAAAAATAAAATTCTGTAAAGTGTTTTAACAATATAAAACTGGAGAATAAATAACCAATATGCAGCTATGGACATTTTTACAGTAATGGATATTTGAAAAAGCAGCAACATCAGAGATGTGCAGAATGACAGCAGCAGGTTATTTAAATGACAAAAATTTTTCTATCATTACATCTGATTTTATTTGTTCCTGCTCCCACTGGTTGGAATCTTTATTCCACTCTGGATTCTTGTGAGTGTAGTCTTTGTTCACTTTAACTTTAAAAATAAATAAATAAATAAACAAACAGTTTTGAAAACCTCAGTATTCATTCTTTTCCTGCTTTGTGTGTCAACTTTCACGGTTGCTAAGCAACAGAGCATACGGCGGTAAAACCCGCCGAAGGGTAGACCTGTTCGAATTTACAGCCAAAACTCTTCCGGCCTCCTTATTTTAAAGGACTTCGAAGGATCCAGTCTAGGTAGACCGCGTCCTTGGAGGATGCAGCCCAGGTTTTTGAACAGAGCCTCTGATTAAGAACAGGGCTGCCCGCACTGACGCGGCTCAGGGATTACGTCACACGGAGCGTCGTGCGCAGTGAAATCAGGACATTTCCTCACTTTCTAAAAAAAACCCGGGACGCCCGGGACAGGACGTAAAATACGGATATGTCCCGGGAAATACGGACGTTTGGTCACCCTACATTTTATAATCTAAAGTATTATTATAAGTCTTTACTTTTTTAGTAGCTCCATTACTAAGTGAAACAAATGATATAAATCAATCTCAGACAGACAGACATGTTTAAAGATTTGACCTCTGTTAGCTATGATTATTTTCTACTTACATAGAAATGTAATTTGTGTATGTTATATTCTACTTATATGCAAATGATGGTTTTTACATAAGAAATGTGGGTGAAAAGTGTAATATCTGCTTGAAGGTTGTTAATTGCAAAATGCACATTTAAGCCTAAATGAACATAGACTTTGATTTATTGAACCTTACCACTGATTGTAAAACAGCTTGTAAATATTTATCTAAAGCATTTAAGGCAAAAATACCTCATCTTGATTACTCCCATGATCTTCAGGGCCTTAAATTAGTAGAAACTTGATTTTCTTTACATTCTGTTACAATGCATCCACAAAGGTATTTCTTGGGATTTTAAGGGATTTTTCAAGGCAGATTTGTACCATGGCTTTGTAATCAGCCCATTTTACTAATATACTTTTAAATTTAAAGCAGCGCTTCTCATTATCTTTGGAAGATGCATGGTTAAAAAACATCCTCAGGATATTTTTTAGAGAATATTAGCATTGCAATTTTGCCATAGAGGTCAAATGTTTCAAAAACATAAAATAAAATAGTTAGATAATAAATAAGATTTAACACTTGGGTAAAGTTATCCTCTTAGCAGGACGAAAGATAGGGCGAAAGATAATGTCATGATCTTGGTTCTGGCTGGCCTAATTGCTCATTCCATTCACCTATCTACTCTGCCTGGTTGCTCATTATCAGTCATCTAATCCACCTGCTCCTGCCTCTATTTAATGTACTTGCATCCAGATTTCATGGCCAGATTATCCTGTTCTCATTCTCAGGGGCCAGTGGAGAGAGGGTTTTTAGCGTACCGTAGTGTCTCTAATTTTCTAATCCTGACCTGATCTGCCTATAATCCACTGAGCGTGTCTGTTCCTGTCTGATCTCAGTGGAGAGAGTGGTTTCTACCTTACCATAGTGTTTCTGAGTACCTGATCCTGACCTGTTCTGCCTCTTAAACACTGAGCCTTCCTGCTCCCATCTGAACGTTTGCCCTGAGCTGTCTGTGGACTCCTGGAACCCTGAACCAGCCTGTTCTTATTCTGATTTGTAATCCTGACCAGGATTCTGACTCAGTGACCTCTGAGCCTTCCTGTTCTGATCTGTTTCCCCGACCTTGCTCGGACTCCTGCTTGTCCTCCAGGACTGCAGCATCAGGGACACCCTTGGTGGTGCCCACCGCATTTAGTTGGCAGCTATCCAGCTGGATTCTACCTCATTCTCTGGGATGGACTGAACTGTTAGACCAGAGCTTCAGTGATAGACGGCCTAGCCGCGGATCCACAGCCCGCTCGTTTTCAAATAAACCCTTTGAGTTATTCCACTGTGTCTCGCCTTGAATACTGGGTCCTTCCATCCTGCATTGTGACACATAAAGCCTGAGCTATATTAAAATGGAGCTAGAATGGCCTAGTCAGAGTAAAATATAGAATCTGTGGCAAGGATTTGAAAGTTGTCGTTAGGAGGGACTGAGAGTTGAGATACTTTGATAAGAATAAGAATCTGCAGTACACAAAAACAGGAAGGATTATAGAATATTTGTCAGAATTTTTGAAAACCATTAATCTTTTTTCATTTATTTACAATTGAGTTTCTTATATAGAATAATAATAAAAAAACAAAAAACAAAACACCAACTGTGGTTTAGTTACACAACAAGATGAGAAAAACTTTAAAGGGTGTACTGTATATCTTCAGTAAGTACAGCTTCTGTAAGGCAGAGAAGTTTCTCATTGGAATGCATGGTAAAGAATCTGTGTTCCGGTTTCTGATGAAATAACTTTAAAAATGACTCATCCTGTCATTTGTCCTCCGTAAACAGATTTTTACAAATATCAGGATGCCATTATAGAGGAGGTCGTGGAAAAACAAGAGCAGCATGTAAAAACATGCTGGCATAATCTTAAGTCATTATTTGTAACTATGTTGTTTGCACGGTTGGATGAATAATCCAGCAACTTCTATTGAGGATGATGAATCAGTTAGCATGCCTAAGCATTCATGATGTTGTTGTTATTACAGTCTCCTAGTCCGCCTGTCTTCCTGTCTTCCTCTTCTCTTAACAAACTGGATGTTGACTCAGTAGTTGTATGAGCTAAACTGGCAGACCAAAAGTTTCTCATTTGAATGATTTATGGTAAACTCTCTGATACTCTGCTGCAAATGCCACATGGAAAACACATTAGTGCAAACTATGTCAGGCAGCTTTCAGGCCGTACTAGTCTCGCCAACACTTATTCTGCACTTTGACGCCAAGTTGGAAAGCTGTAGCTTTCAGGGAATTGCTTTTTTTTTTTTTTTTTTCAAGAAAAGAAAACAAATCTCAAAATGAAGCCCCTGCTGCAATACCTGATCTCAGTTATTGTCAAAAACTTTGTCGCTGTGGTAACATAGGGTTTGACAACAATACAGGTTGTCTGATTTTAAATAACCTGGCACCGTTCACTCATAGAAGCTGTAGATTCCATGCCTGCAAATTCATCATGCATTATTTGGCTGCCTGCGTCCCTCAGAGGTATAAAGAGCTTCCCCCTCACTATCTATGTGCCTTTCATGTTGAAATAGCTGCCCTAACTGATACAGCACATAACTTTCAATAATCGTTCTTCATTATCCTGCCTCATTACAGAATTGTTTTACTCATGTGAGTCACTCCTTTTGTTTTGGGTGGTTTTTTTTCCCCTGGTTGCAGGGAAATGTGGGTGACGTTGACTTTCCCTCGCTGTGATAATGGCTGGATGGGATAATGGAACAATTGTCAAGTTTGCCTGAGAGAAAATAGCAGAGTTACAACAGAGAGGCCCAGGTTCATTACTCATGAATTTTGATCACTTGGGTTGAAAGACACATAAAATAAGATAAAGTCTTAAAACATTCAGACAGCCTTCTATTAACATGGATCATTTCATGATAGTAAAAAAATCACCTAGAAAAGTTGTCTTCACTTACTTTATGCAAAGTGTATCAGTTAAACAAAACATCACACAAATGTTTTCTTTTCAAGCTTTTTAAACGGTTTAACTTAAATAAGATAATGATTTTCTATGCATTTTTCTACCACGTCATGCCAGATAATGTAATTATTTAAAAATTATCTAAAATATTACAGTATATTTGGGATTTAAATACATTCATTAACTCGGATTAACCTGTCTGACTTTGTGATACATTTACAGAGAAAACAGCATTTTTCATAAAGACCTGACAACTATGGAGCTCTTACTGACTTATTTTGCATTATATCTTAAAGTGGAAATTACTCCTTAATCCCTCTGCGTATAAAAACGTCCTCTATTTGCAACTGTGTCAGCATAGCTTGCTCTTCAAAAGATCAACAGACACAAACACAATCACACACACAAAAAGTAAATCATGAGATTAAAGTCTTTCATATTTCTTTAATAGGTGTACAAGGAAAGTTGAAGTTGAAGTTAAATATTCATCATGTGTCTTTTCAGAAACTCCATGCTGGGAGCGAAACATTGATCTCTGCTACAGAGGAACCATAGCTGATCATATGCAGACTCAGGTAATGTATCTTTAAGTTTAATGGAATACTTTGTACCAGTTATGGGTATGGGCTATGATGTGCTACAAGAATATGTTTAATTTAACTAGAATTGCACACTCTATATTTATATTATCTGTAGAGATTCCAGAGTCAGGCTCCCTGGGTAAGCCCTCCTTTTGTTGCACCAACAGCCAATCAAAATGCAATAAATTATTTTAGATTTAGGGGTTGGATAAAATCCAGTGCAGTTTGACACATAGCACACCTCCCCATTCACAGAAGAAAACATGAGAACGCCACCTTAGCTCATACAGAAACACAATTGATATTGTATTTCCACCACATTACAGATACATTGACATTATTTCATTTGTGTCTCATTCAGCTTTCTTTCCAATGAGACTTAAAGCAACAGCATGTGACCCACCTAAAAAACCAATACCACTTACATCACTCACCACTTATGTCCAGGACCCTGATCTGCTGTATTTTCCTTGGCATCAACAGATTTAGTCCCAACTGGTGTTTCTGCAGGATAAACACAACATGACTACTAAATTGTGCATCAATCATAGCATTTTTTTAAATAATTTTTTATTGTCATTATTGAACATACAGCTGCAAACTTCAATAAGTTAGGATTATTATTATTATTCCTCTATGTGCTTTTTAAAGCCTAATAGTAGCAGCCATAATGTTTTCCTGAGCATTTTAGTCTAATTAGGTCACAGAACACAGAGCTTTCCATTAAAATTATCCTCTCATCTTGCAGCAGTTTATCATGTTGTCTTGTGGAGCAGTTACCTAAAGTGCTAGGCTAAAATTAGCATGTTTGCTCTAGGTTGATATGAACTGTTCATGATTAGGCTAATAATAAGTAATCATGTGTGAAGAAAACTTGGAGACAAAGTTGTTGTGGTTCATAAACTCAGAGCCCTGATTTGTATGTATTTGATAAGCGGTGTTTCAGCGGTTCTCTCTGCTGCAGAGCAAATTGCATGATGCACTGATGAAGCTGCAGGAGTTTAAAAGTCATTATCAATGTAAATGGTTGCAAACTCCAGATTCTTTAGGGCAGACCAAATAATGTATGATATTGCAGTTTTTTTCAGCCATGCACACAAAACGTCACAGCTGTGACAATGTACTGTCACATGACTTACTGCGGGTGAAGCTAACACCAAACCACAGACTTTGAGTGGACTGATAACAGGGATTGGTAACAGTCAGGGACTATCCCATTCAGATTAAGATACCCTGATAACATCATCAACCAACTGTTTGACTTACATTTAAAAAATCAAGTCAGCTAAAAAGAAAAAAACAACAAGATTATTGTCAGTACAGTCTGAGTCACCACAGCAGCATATCTTTTGTGTATTAGTGGGGCTGTTACTAAGAGACTGGTATTTACCCATGACCCCTGACAACCACAAAGACAAGATGAAAACACTCCATTCAAAATGGGAATGTTTCAATTGTGGGCTTAGACTCTCAATCATTTGCTGACCAAACAGGTCTGGGATCACCAAGGACTTAGAGGTTGATGTTTTCATCCTCCTCCAGTTATCGTGGACCCCAGCTCCTCTGATTCTGACTCCTGTTTTAGTTCCCTCCACCAACTCTACACTTCGAGTAAGAATTGTCTGCAGCTCTTGTGAGAGAAATTATAAACAAGAAAAGTTGAAACACCACTTCCCATTGCTGTTTCTTTAAATAAATTAGAGGGTCTTTTCATTTCAGGCTCCCCCCAAAGAGAACAGTTATTCTCTTGAGAGTAGCGGGGCCTCTAACAAGTTCACATGACCTTTTCTCAGAGCATTATTTAACCAGAGCCCACAGGAAGACACAACGGAGCAAAGTTCATGCATTGTTTTTATTCATCCATATTTTTCTTATTTCCTCTGTGTGCAGCAAAGTGCGGAAGTAACGGGCCATCCAAATGGCTCCCAGAATCATCTTTTTGGGGAGCCTGAGTTTCCTTCAAGCCAGCACATACTGACTTCTCCAGAACATGTGGTGGTCATCTCCCCTGGACTCAATACGCCTCCGCTGAACCCGTTTCGCTCCACAGGCCCAACATCTGGAGTTGTCAAGGTATGTTACAGCCTGCAGCCTAATGTGATGGTTGTACTGATAATTAATGAGTGAGTGTTGGCCTAGAGGTTAAAGCAGTGTGCTTGTGCTCTGAGAAGGTTGCAAGTACCCAGTTTGATCCCCACTCTAGGTCCCTGAGCCAGACCCTTAACCTCACACAGCTCCCTGGGCGCCATACAATGGCAGCCCACTGCTCCCTAAGGATATGGGTCAAATGCAGAGAATGAATTTCCCCATTGAGGAACAATAAAGGGATTTACATTTTTACTAAATGAATTATTTGAACAAGGGCTCCTCCCTGTGGAAAAAAAGATGTACTGCACTGCACAATTTATAGACATGCAAAAATAGTGTCAGCCATGTTTAAAGATGAGTATAAATCCTTAAAACATCTCAATTTCATATTGCTGCATCCATGATATGCATCCATATGAACAGTTTTTTTTATATATCTTAAACAAATAAAACTTTTATATAGAATCCAAGGCTTATTTTCATATTTGTGTTTATTCGAGGGGTCAGAGGTAAATGGAGGGGGTCCAACGACTCTGAGATTTGGATCATACTATGGACCTTCCCAGTCGCCAGGTAAATATTTTAAGTTTCCAGTCAATACCTCACCATATAGTTTTGCAATACAAGTTATCAAAAGTTATATGGAAATAATATTCAGAGAATATATATATATATATATATATATATATATATATATATATATATATATATATATATATATATATATATATATATATATATATATATATATATGTATAATCTAATTGAATAGATATAATCTATGGCAATCTCTAACCATGGAAGTTTTACAAATATCAAGAAAGAGAAATTGTTTTGAAAGACCCACAACTACAGCTGTGATTAAAAGACACGCAGTGCTTATTGATCCAATAAAATAATTGTTTTATTTGATTTTATTAAGTTTTCATTTGTCAAACTGAAACAGCCAAAAAAAGGAAACCAGCAGAATTGTATAAATTTCTTTACGTCCATTGTTCAGGTGAACTTTCCAATGGAGTCCAGGGCTCTTCTACTTCGGATCCAAATAATGAGGGGAGGCTTATTAAGTTCTCAGGCATAGGTCCAGTCGATGAGAGTGGAATGCCCATCGCCTCTAGATCGGTAAAATATAAATTACCAGAATTTTTTAGTTAAAAATAACATGATCCAACAAATTCATCAGGTTAATTTCCTTTCACTGCTCCTCCCTGAATGCACCAGAGCGTGAACAAGCCCAGGGACTGGTACAAAAGCATGTTCAGACAGATCCACAAGAGACCAGAGGGTAAGAAACTCTTTCTCTCCTTTATTTTTTACTGTGGCAAATACAGAGTAAATTCCACTGTGTCAATATGTCAGATTCTGAGGAGGTTAGCAGGAAAACTAATTATCACTGTGGTAAAAATAAAAGGCTTTTAAGGTCTCTGTAAGTTTCTGTTCATGAGTTCTGACAGTAATCCGGCTAATTTTCTCAGCTCCTCCCAAATCTTAGTCATTTGTCTTTTTCATGTGCTGTGAAAAACATTTTTTTTTCCTGCTGCAACTCCTGCAGGAATTTGGATGTTTAGGTTTTGAAGAGATCTTTCTTGTTTGTTTTCAGCTTATTAAGTGTTGCTGTGGCAACATACATTTATCAAAAACAGTAAATGCTAAATGTCTTACAAAGATTAATAAAATCAGTCATGTAAGGTTTTGCAAATGGAGAATTTGCACACAATTTTACATTTTGCTTTATTTATCATGTTGACCTATTACATCTGTCCTATTCTGTTACATTTTACTTTTGTGAAAAGTTTCAAATGAATCTCTCTCTTTTCCTTTAACCAGAGCTGGAGGATTCAGAGCGGTGGTCCTCAGAAGGTGAGTTAATCCTTTATAATGTGTGTCAACATTGTGTGCAATCAGTGGTTGCTTTAGGATTTTTTGTGTGATTCACAAATCCACAGGCCTCCAGTTCTCTGCAGAAAGAGATAAAATCCTCCAAGAAGACGACGGCCTCTTCAGACTAACGCCTTATGGATCCCTGCCAGATTGGTGAGTTCAAGAGACAGGCTGAAAAGCAGCACTATGAGAAAGGCTGTCACTCATTTCACATCTTTATTTCTAAAAAGGCTGTACAGGTTTGGTCCAAAGCAAACAAAAGAAAGGAACATATTTTACAGAAAAAGTTTGATATTTTGAGAATATTTCTTTAATTGATATGGATTCTTTAGTATAATACCTGTACCTATATTGTAGTTTGGGATTAATGAGTGGGACAAAGAACAGATGAGACTAATGAGCTAACTACGGTATAAACAGCTGAGAGCAATCAGAGAACAAAGACGAAAGGAGATGGAAGGCAGAACAGGAACTGTGTGCTAACAGAGCTCAGAGGGATATAAGAAAGACTGGACACCTAAAGGAGACCTGATATCAGAAAGAAACAGCAGAAAAAGGAAAACCAAATAATAATAATAATTAAAAAAATGAAGCTACTAGTAAGAAATCCATGAAAACTTTAAATGCAAGAAATGTAACAAGATACACATAATAAAGAAAACCTAGAAAAAGTATTCCTTAATTATGTCCATCAAGGTTCCACACCTTGATATCAACAGTCAGGTTATCCAAAATCCCGTTAAATATCCTAAATATTTGTTTCAATTGTGTTAAAGAGGAGGCTCATCTAAAAGGTTTAGGTTAGGAAACCCGGGACCAAACATTAGGTGTGACTTCTACTGTTGGAAGAAAGGGTCACAGACTTTCTGGTGTCAATTTTAGAGACACAACTTCATACTTATATCCTGATAATGAAATCTATATCAGAAAACAAATATAAGTTCTGTTTATACTTTCAACTTCCTGCAGTTTTGCTTTATTAGCCTTTTTTTATGTTGTCTATTGAAAGTAATGTTTGTGTTTTGCACACTGTATGCTGCACAAGTTTTAACATTAATGTGTGTGCATGTCCCTGCAGTTTGTTTTCGCTTAATTTAAAAACGGATTTCTTTCAAAACTCCAGTGTTTTCTCTGGATCAAAGCATCTCATGTTAATTTTCCCTAAATTGTTTCTTCACCTTCTCTCTGTCTCACATTTGCAAGTTTAGCTTTATTGTTGGTTGAAGCACAAGAAAACATCTACAGCTTTGCAAGTAAAATGTTGCTTTTAGTCTCTCGTATAGAAAACAGTTTTTTCAGTGCTGAAAGATGAGTAGTGCATGCTGCCGTCATGCTGTTTTCAGTCTTGCTCCACCGGGTTCATGTCAGACTCTATTGAAAAGCTCAGCGGATGCTTCATTCTGAGTAAAAGCCAAAGTAGAGTTACTTTGAGGAGATCCATCATCCAGAGTAGAGCTCAGAACAGCTTATTCACATGAACAGAAATTTCTTGAGATAGTTCAGGCATTTAATCAGGATCTCAACCAGGCAACTCCTTTTTGGACTTTTTACAGACATCCTCCTCTGGGTGGACCCAGAACTTGATGGAAGGGACGACATATATCTCCTCTGGCCTGGGAGGGATTTGAGATCCTTCCAGAATTAGCATGAGTGTGTTGCAGAGGAGATTAATGTCTAGATTTTTAATCTACCTTTAAGCCCTGCAAGCTTAAATGAGAAATTAAGATAAAAATTTAGAATGAGCTCTGTGCCTTTACCTGTGGCTTGGATCGATAAGCGAAAAGTTTATCTGTAAATTTCTATGATGATGTTTGTTATTGCAGCTTTGGATTATAAATCCTTTAAGGGTAGAAAATAACTAGAAAAAAATGCGGAAGAGATATAATCCATATGTAAAAATTCACCTGTAAGCCTCCATCACACATCATTAGCATTTTATATGCAGCAAAGACCCTTTTTGTGCTTTGGACTTGCAACCAAAGTAAAAAAAAAGAAAAGCTATTTAATTCAATTGCATAATAAACACAACGTGGTTCTAATTTTATTCTCAACCTTGAATCATAAGTTATGAGGCATGAAGAGGAAAAAACGACACCTAAACTAACTCAAATCTACCATAAAATGTGCCCAAGGATGCTTTTCTCAGAGGAGCCCTTTGTGAGGAGTGAAAGACATTGCTGATCTAACTGTGGAGAGTTAAACCAATCAGAATCTAGTATGAGACACTTCTAGGATTTACATGTTTTTTAGATATCAGTCAAAAGACTTTTGCTTGAGTAGTCAATATCCAGCATGGATAGGCACATAGAGCAAACAAATAATTTACACAGTTTTTCTTGTTTTTAAATTAGCTACTGTGTTGACTTTGTGCTGCTGAAGATTTTCAGTCATCCAGGTCATAGTGATAGCCGGAAGGAATAAACTAAGTTGATTCAGTTGATTCCTTCCCCCTATCATCGCAACCCCCTCCTTGCAGGGGGACAGAACACCTCACCTGTTTAGCCAGGCCAGCAATTCCCTTTAATGATAACCCCTTTCAGAAACAGTGACGGTATCGGGTATTACAGGCTAACTAAGAAACCAAACGACCCTCATTTCAAAGGGGCGGAACTGTTCATCCGGTTCAGTTTGCATGTTTTCTAAGCCAAAACAAGTTTTTTTGGGTCCACTCTATAAACCCTCAAACTCAAACTGACATTTGAATTTAAAAAAGCTTCCTGGATAAGAAACGAAACATCTTCAAACTTGGAAATAAAGTCAAGCAAATTGTTTTTTAACTTTTCTGGAATGTGTTGACTTTCTTTTAGCGTAATAATCCAAGAATAACTCTTACCAATGTTGACTCTTCTTTTACGTGATGCACACCCCAGCTGACTGCTTCTGCGGATGCCAACTAAAAATTAGTGCCAAATCCTGTGCAGGAAAAATTTGGAAGACAAGTTTGGATTTGTTGTTACAGGCACTCACAATGAAGCCACATCTAAGCTGTTGTCTATGTGTTCCTGTGGTGTGTCTGTGTGTGTTTTTGTGTCTGTTGGGGTGTTACGTTTTAGGACCGAGGATGTAGATAAGCTGTCAGACCCTGGAAAGCAACACCATCAACCCAGGAGCATATTTGACTTTGAGCCTGAAAGGAGCTCCACTTCAGTGAGTAACAGCCAGGTACGGGCCTCCCACACTGTCACGTTTTAAATATAGACTCTGATAAAGCTCTGATACCAGCTCATATTTCCCATGTCTTTATATGGATCCAGGGTCATGTTTGGAGATGTTCTCACTAATTCTTTACAGTCTGTTTTCGAAGTGAGGAGCTCATGAACAAATCGTTCACCTTTTCTTGAAGGATTATAGTCTAACTCCTCAGATTACATCTTCTCACGCAATGCTGCCTGTAAATTCTCAGCTTTATCTGTGTTCGGATGATTTCTTACTGCAAAATGAGCCCAGTTCTTTTAGTTATTGGATTCAATCAAGTTAAACATAATTTCAGAAAAGAAAATGTAGAATCTATGCTTATTATCAGTTTATGCAGATTGTAATATCCTGATATTGTCACAGAGTTAGTTCGCTGTAATCCACTACTTCTTTTTCTGGGCCATTTCTTTTATGCATGGAGCTGCAGAACTCTGAAGACAAGAAATCTTTGTTTCTACTCCCCTGGAAACTGATTGGTCTTTTGATTTGCATTAAGGTGTTAATGCGTTCTAGTACAAAACTGCTCACAGCAGGGGGACTTACTTCATTTTGTATTTATGGTCTACATTCTGGAAATAAAACAGCTCACAGACCATATCAGGTGTTGTGCTGCTTTAGTGTGACACAGTGGACAGGAAGACTCCAGTAGGTCTGGTATTCAGAGAGATGGATTCAGCCAAGGTTTTACAAAAAGGGAATAAGCAGTTTGTGGTCCTCAGCTACAGTGCCTTTTATAGTAATGGGATAGAACTAGAATATAAAAGTGTAAAGTCTTTGTTGAGAAAGGGAGTATAGGAAATATTGTTGAGGTTGTAAAAAAGGAAATATGAGTTGGTTTATTCCTTGGATCCCAAAACTATGCTCTGGTACTCTTTAAATATAAGACTTTGATCTCTGCATGCTGGAATTTGTCCTTTTTATTATTGTGTTAAGATGGTTATGATGAGTGGCTGAATTTATTTGTTGTCCAGACATATTGCGCCAAATTGGCTTAAGGCCTAAGGCAATACACACACACACACACACACACACACACACACACACACACACACACACACACACACACACACACACACACACACACACACACAAACACACACACACACACACACACACACACACACACACACACAGCTCCCTTGAAATATGTTTTTGCTTTAGAAAATTGGATATTTGCAGTTCCTTTAAAAACGCTGAACTTTTCTTTATGATTCTTTTCAACATGATGTTTGGCACTGGAATCAGGTTCATATATTTATTTATTTATTTTTTTTTCAATGTCAAATATATAAACTCACCCCCATTAATATGTGGATAAATATCCTTTGGCAGGCATAAAACGAATGCCTCTAGTAGCCATAAAGCAACTTCTGGCATCTGGTTGTATAACTGACCACTCCTCCTATCATAAATTGTAAAGAATATAATATTTTTGGTTGGATGTTCGCAGCAAAGACCAGGCTTTTAATCAAAATTACATCTTTTGAGTATAACTCATACGGAGGCATCTCAAGGAGCTTAATGCTGGCTGGTTTTAGATTCCTAAGCAAATCTGTGTGCTTGAAGTCATTTTAATGCTGAAAACCAAATTGAGGCTTCAAATTAGCTGATTTGAGATGCAGTATAAGAAATGAAAGGCAATCCTACCACAATATTATTCCTCTCATTTTGTCGACAGCTGGCATGGAGACTGTCCCACCGCAGGATCCTGGAGGAAAACATTTTTATTTATTTTTTTTGTTAGAACCCTCTCAGTTGTCATTAATGTTAAACTTGCTTCATAGTGGATAAAAACTGTTACTATGCAGAGGCCTTCAGGTTGTTGTATTTTTGGGCTGTTCTCGAAAATTTAATGAAGCAGTTTCCTATAAAATCTAACTGAAAGTTAAAAACATGCAATACAATGTTCTTCTAAACTGGAGGTCTTCAACAGGGGGTCCGCAAACCCCAAGGGGGTCCACGGAGGTACTGCATGATGGTCACAAAAGAATTGGTTGATTAGACTTTTTTTTATATTCCCCCCTGTAATTTTTTTCACTTATTGAAATGTCTTTAAACACATTAACATGAATTCAACACACTGTAGTAAACAGATAAATGGAGGCAGAAGATGTCCTTCGGTCATTAACGCACACATTCAGCGACCAACAGGAGCTCTTTTAAGCTGGGCACCGCTAATAGACTGTTGTATTTCGACCCCCAGGGACCACCAAGGGGTTTGATCCTTTCCATACATCTAAACAGGTTAAATTCATTCACAACACCTGTCCCATCAACGAGGAATCAGAATCAGAAATGCTTTAATAATCCCACGGAGAAATCACTTTCGTTATATTACTCCATTTGTAATAGAGGGACTATAGGACCAGCAATTACCAGGAATTGAAATACAATTTCATACAATATAAATAATTAGGGGGTCCCCACTCCATCTGGGCATCAGTTTGGGGGTCCTTGGCCTGGAAAGCGTTGGAGATTCCTGCTCTACAGACAACTCCTTAAAGGTGATAGCTACAAGTTGAACTCCTCCCAGCCAGTCGGTGGCACACTCATGTTCACCCACTCTTTTTTTGTATTATTTGCCAGGCGGTTACAAAGTCTGCTAATGCAAACTTCAGTTAGCATTAGCAGCATTAACCTGTTTGGAAGAAAATAGTCAACTACTGTACAGTATGTGGGGCTTTTTTTTCTTCCTGGCTTTAATATAAGTAATGTAATTCTGAGTTATTTCAGCTCTATTATGCAGCTACCACTATCTTGCAACTCCTGATCTCCATTTCATGTAGCTTTAATCTTTAATTTCATTTGCTGTAGAATTCCTTAATGTCAATGTTGGCATTATAACCTGAATTTTTTTATTTTTTATTTGGATTTACGAATCCAAAATTTAATACACAATTATTTTAATTCTATCATTTTTTTTTTTTAATAAAATGAAAACTTTTATCCTGCACCACTCTTGTTTTGTGGGCATGTTATTTGAGAAAAAAAAATTGCTTTGGCAAAAAAAAACTAAATAAAAAAAAACCCAAGTCAGAAAGCAATTAAGCTAATTTAAATAAGCTGTGAATATCTGAGAAGAATATGGTCAGAATTATATAATTTTCATCAGTGGTTACAAAATTTTGATTGAACAGATTACAAAATAGTATACTCCATTTGTATGTTGCTCTTCTAGTATTTTCCACCAATCAAAGGGCTTTACACTAGAGCCACATTCTCCCAGTAGCACTCACAAAAGCACAGATATGTGTTTATCATGCACTGATACACATGTGCAAGCTGAGCAACTTAAGGTTCAGTGCCTTGTCCCAATATATTTTATACCAATTTTAGATTAAATACAGGTTCATAGGGTTTATGACTTAAACATAATTTATTCTACTTTAATTTGATTTTTAAAGAGCTGTTATTTAGGGTTATATTCCAGTAAAAACTGCTTATGGTACACCATAATGTGGTATTTTTTTATGAGCGAGTTGATTTCCAATCTGAGGCCTAAACCGACTGCTGTGTGGTTTTTATTTCTTCCCTAGGTTCATTTGTCCCAGAAGAGACAGGCTGAGAAACCAAAATCTCCTTCAATTGAGGTGAGCATCTACAAGACAAACAAAATGTTGCTTTTTTCTATTTCATGCTAAAAATATTTGATTTTTTTAAGCTTAGAGAGGAAATGACAAGCTCCAAATATCAGGCTTTGTGGTAGAATTTTATTCTTGCATTCCAACACTGTAATTGCTGGGGCTCAGGCCAGTCTGCAGTCTGAGCTGAACCAGTTAGAAGCAGAGCTGGACTCGGAGATTCAGGGCCTGGAGAGGACTCTTTCCCAGAAGAAGCAGCGTCAAGGCCGGGGTGAGGTACTGAGCCCCCATACCGAATTTCTTTGCTAAGAATCACTCCTCCAACCCGTCCCACTTTGATTTAGCAGAACTCCAGCACTCCTCACTTCCCAATCATAGCTGCGTGATCCCTCTGCTTACCAGCTGTTAATATGAGCATTCTTTTTTTCTCTCTTACTTGGATGATTGCCTGAGAACTGCCTGCCTGATTTGCACTCAGATTGATCTATTTTCTAATTCACTTGCTTGCAACTTCTCCACAGCAAATGCAAAACTTTTAGTAGAAAATAGCAACAACAAAAAACACAACTTCTTGATTAGGTAGTTTAGTACTTTTCCTTTTAAATTCTTACAGCAAGAAATTCAGGTTAAGTGTCATGTTTCCTTTCTATGTGATTGAATCAGACTGAAACTCTCAGGCAGCCCAGACAAACCAAGAGCAGTGCTGCTGTTTGTAGCCGAGGAGCATAGGACCCAGGGGATTTCCTTGCACTGTTGGGAGTGGTCAGCACCTCTACTTTGTCTGAGTTGTTGTGAGATTTCCTCTGAACTGTGAGAACATACAGAAGGCTGAGAGCCTCTGCAGGGAACAAACTGGGTGTTCACACAGTATTCCCCCTGTTTGCAGGAGGCCACAGGCAGGGATCCAGTAGCTGTTCCAATGGCTGCCTCTGCAAACCACAGGTTAGTAAGCATAGAGGTAGAAACATTTCAAGAATATATGCAAGTTTTATACTATATTTGTGATTTGAGATGCCTATATACTGTCATGCATATGCAATATACTGTAGAATTGATGCATTATATGAGTGGAAATATGTAAACAAAAATAGATTTGACTAGTTTAACAATTCAAGTGTCCTTTAAAGTGTTGTGAATACTGTTAACCCTTTTAAGGCTGATGGAAGCAGTAATAGTTTGAGATCCAGATTTTTAAATTGTTAATTGACTGTTAGAATAAAATCCACATGATTTTTTAAATATATGTTAATATCATGAATATAAACTCCAGGCTTATGTGGTTGTCTCCTATGCATCATATTAAACACATTGTGCAGCGGTTTAAATGCTTCAGGAACCTCCAGGCGAGGTTTTATCAGAGTGGATTTAATTTGAGAAGATTAACTGGTTATGACACAGCTGTGTCTTCTAGTAGATTTTACCTGTAATATACGATGATGGTCTTTTAAAAATAAAAATTGGTCCCCAACTGTCAGTGCCAATAGACCCTTGTATTTCGACCTCCAGGGACCCCCAAGGGGTTTGATCCTTTCCATACAGAACAGGATAAAACATCCTTCACATAGTATTAGCCAGATGTGAAAAAAAAATTAAAATATTGGTGTTTTGTTTACCCATTTTCTTTAGGTTCTTTAGGCCAACTGAGTCCTACTGGGCTGAACATTTTGTAATATTTTGTAACGAACTAATGCAAACGAGGAACTTTACAATTCATTATTATTATTTGTTTATTTGAGTAGCAAACAAAGACAACAAACAACAAATGCCACCACAGCAAAATATGTTGAAATTCAAGGGTAGGTTGAAGTTCACAGAACTTATGAAAAACCCACCCCTGACTTATCATACACAAAGCTGCAGTTAGATTTTCACCTTACAAAAGCTGTCAACAGTTTGACTCTTTATAGATACCAGCTACCAAAAGGTGAATAGCATCTATTTGTAAGCGTGTATTATTGTACAAATTATACATTTGAAACGTTGAAAGGAAAACAAAAACATTTACTAAGCACTTTCTTAGTTCTTCAACAGGTCCACAATACCACTATTCTATTAGTTATGATTGTACAAATGGAAAAGAAGTAAAGAAATAAAAACAATTTAGACACTTGGATATACAGTAGCTAAATTCACCATATGAAGAAAACTGTTATAATAAAAAAAAAATCCAATTCCTAAAAAGCATGAGCCTCTGTTTTTCTGTTCTTTTATTATAGATGTAAAATAAGTTAATTTATGCAAACTAATATTGAGAAAAGTTTAAACTTTCTTAGAAAGGACACCTTTGGCATTTTTTTAAAACAAAAGTTAACAGTTGTGTCCTGTTCTTTCCACTTCACTGTTACAATGAGGCACGTTTCTGACGTGCTAGGATTACAAGCTAGGGTTACAAGCTTTCCAACAAGAAATTTGTGAGGAGATTTTTTCTCCAGTGCTTTTCAAATCACTGTTTATACTGCTATAAATGTAAAGGTCATCAGTTTATAATCGTTTGGCTGGTAAAACCTGATATTAGTGCTGGATTTAAATTTAGAATAACATTTCACTTTTAGATTAATAATTTCCACTTAAACAGTTTCGATCGATTGAAGCTTTGAGCTTTCGTTTAATCATAAAATAAATAACAGCATTATTTTGCTTTTGTCTTTTTTTGTTTTTGCTTTAATTCTTGTAAATAACATCACTTTATGTCTGGAAGGTGCTATATAAATAAGCATATTAATCCCAGAAATTATTTGGTCAAACCAGATAGATGTCATGATTTGGGTATGGTTAGTTGACACAAAAACAGAGGCAGGGAGGCAGAGGTAAATTTCTTGTGGATTTAATAATGATTTTACTGAAAACAGAATCAGGTTATCAAAAAACGAAAACAGAGTTTAAATAAACAGGAAACCAGGAATCCAAAAAGAAAACAAAGTCCAAAAATCCAAAATTCAAAACGTGAAAACTAGTCAAAACGTACCAGAAACCAAGGAGACATCAGGGGATAACTATCATAAGGATGAAGGCTCAGAGAGAAGGAGTTGGAGCATGTTTGATGAGGACCCAGCAAAGAAGAACAGAACACAGAGAGTATTTATAGGAGACTGAAACGAAGAGAGAGCTAATGAGCAGACAGGGAGCAGATGGGCACAGAGCAGGAGAGGAAAAGAGCTAGGGAAAAAGGAGAACACAAGAGGGCAGTAGAGGGCAACAAATAAAAAACCTAGAAAAATGAAAATATCCAGAAAACACAACAAAATAAGAATTAAACCACTGAGACTATTAAACATGGAGGAAAGTAAAAATTAATACTCAAAAGAAAAACACAACAGAGCCAAGACTAAGACATTAATTGAGAAAAAAACAAAGAACATAATAACTAAGAATTAAACCACTAAAACTAGAAAACAAGGAACAAAGCAAAACTGGATACTCAAAAGAAAAACATAACAGAACCAGAACTCTAACAATAGGCATATCATAGCAAAAAGCTAATAGAAAATCCCCCTCAGAAAAGTTTTCCTTTAAATGTAAATCCCCTCTTAATAATCTTTAATAATGCATCAGTGCTTTCCTGAAGTCCTCCTGCTGTTTCAGGAACCCCAGAACTGTAACTCTACATAACAACACGCTAATAACTAGCCGGGCATCTGTTACATATTACAGTATATCCTTTCTGAGTTTTGTTTTAAAGCTGTAATTGTAAGTAGTTTAATTTTTTTTTCTTTTTCTTGAAAGACCAGGACAGCATTTCACATTTCTCACCTTGCATGCGTTGCATTCCTGGATGATTCTTGCAGTTGTCAGCCTAATTGAGCTCTTGGAATGTCTCCTTTTTCAAGTCTTGAAAGGATTTTGCAGTAGATCTGTTATCTTCAACCTCAGCGTTGTGGATTTTTCCTCAGCTGTGCTTGTCCAGCTGCAAGCACAACACAGAACTAGACTGTATCAAAATATTCAAATTACTTTAAAAAAAAAAAGAACAAAAAAGGCAGTTTGGCTGAACATAATGTCAGTTAATTCTTAACCCGGGGACAAACCGAGTCATTGTTCTGGTCATGGCTATTATTGGGACCAGATTTATAATGTTGGGAGGTTTTTTCGTTACTATTCCTTTTCAGGGCATTACAGAATAGCTGCAAACAGATAACCTGGACATTAAACCAAATAGATTTGAATGTGCATGCAGTATAGGTGCAACAGTACACTAATACACACCTTAAACACTAGGTACAGCCCTTTGGGTTTGGCAATTACTTGCACCGAACAAACACAACGTTCTTCTAGAGCTGAACATATGCACAATGTTTATGTGCAAAACTTGAGCCATGATTCATTTCGCAAGCTTAGCAATGAGACACCAATACAAGAAGTATGTGCTTCCAGCTATGACTAAAGTCTTCTTTTTACAATGAAGTAAGAGCATTACTCAACAATATGAAGCTACTTTAAGCTGAATGTAAACACCTCTAGTACTGGTGAAAAAGTCCTGCTGTCTGTAATAGCATTCAGCTAGTGCTTTTCATCGTCTAAGCAATTCCAATGCAGTTTAATAATCTTTATTGTTTAATAACAATTCATTGTTGTTCAAAAGTTCATAAATAGAAACCTTGACCCTTTTTATATAGTTTTCCTGTTTTTGAAAATGATCCAGGCATTGCTTAAACATGATTACCGTTAATTAATTGAACATAATCAATCCAAACGTCAATTCAGTGTCAAAGTTCTAGGATATTACGAGATCAATTTTTTAGATTTCACTGTTACCTAAATTGAAATTCTCTTGATCAAAGTATATCAAAAATGTACCTCCCATCACTTTAAAACGAACTGTGATTTTAGTGCACCATATATCATTTTACTATCATATCATAAAATGATAGGGCTGCAAAGTGGGTAGCACTGCTGCCTTGCAACAAAAAGGTTTGATTGCCCGGGGGCTTTCTGAATCAAGTTTGCATGTTCTCCCTGAGCATGCGTGGGTTTTTTCTGGGTACTCCGGCTTCCTTCCACAGTCCAAAAAAAACAAACAAACAAAAAAAATACATGACTGTTAGGTTAATAGGCTTTCCTACATTCTCCTTAGGTTTTATCTCTGTGTTGATCATAATACAATTTTTAGTGAACTCAGCACCCCATAGTCAGGGACAAAATTAAAAAGGAGATGTATTAAATTATCTAGTTCTTTTTTTCTATAAAACGGTAAAACAATACAATTATTGACAATTATTACAGCAACTATTAAGCATTAGATTTCATGTGGAAAAGGATCCGCAAGCAAAAAGAAGATAGAGATTATTGTAGTACAAAGGATATTTAATTATAATTTCAAAAAACAATTTGACTAACTAAATTTTCCTTAATCTTGCTTGACTAAGGAATGATGCTTAAAATTATTATCTTGCTTAATACTGGAATTAGGATTACTTGAAATTATTGCTATTGAGTTATGGTTTCAAGTGTTTTATTTGTTTTACTACCTTCTTCTATCTTGTTTTCACTTGTTTTTATGCTCGCTTTTACTCTGCTTTCCTTTAGTTGATGTAAAGCACTTTGAATTTTCTTTGCATACATTTGTAGCTTTTAAACATTTCTTACCTTGAGTTTGTAAAACAATGTATTTATTGCACTTTGTAAACTGTTTGAAGAGATGCCATGTGTAAAAAAATAAAAACATGGTCAACAGAGTTATCCCTTAAATTTACAACGATAAGGAAAACTCGTAACAGTTAAATCAAGCAGAGATAAGGCATTGTTTAATATTGGAAGTGTTATGATGCAGGTGTGTTTATGTCTTTTATCTGGTTACTTTATTTTTGCCACATTATTTACTTACATTATTTCGGGATCTGCATCTTTTTGTTACGTATATTTTTACATGGCATCCAAATTATGGAATTTATTTGAAAGAAAAAGGTTAATATTTTAAGGAAAAACAAAGGCAGGACAATTTTATTTGCATTGGTACAGTTAAATTCAGTAACAAGACAATTTAAAGTGCTGTACATGAAAAATACACAAGAAAAGAAAAAAACAAAAGAAAGAAAAAGTTGGACTTTAAACTTAAACTAATGATCTTTTTTAATGTAAATCCACTGATTTAATCTCACCTTTTTTGCCATCTTTAGATGAGATTTGTTTAAAACACCAACAAAAACACACAGTTTCTAAGAGGTAATCATTACATCAGTTGGGAGACAAAAAAAAAAACTTGCTAAGGAAAATTATGTCAAAAAAAACATTTAGAAAGAAAAATAGTTTGTTTTAATTATTACATTGTTGTTGTGATGTTTTTATAAATGTAATTCCAAACTATAGGATTAATTAACATCAGTCCACAATCCCACATTGATCAATAAAAAACAAACTATAGACTCATTAGGTAGAAACAGCCAGATCCAATAACAGAGAGAAAATAAGGGACCTAAAACCTGAAGATGATTACTAGGACCAGGAACAGGTAAATCTGATTAACTGGATATAAGATAGCTGTAAAGGGGAAGCTGGGAAGAACTTATTGAATGAGAAGCTAACAATAACTGATAACTAGATACCATAAAGAAAGACAAGAATGAAGGAAAGGGAAAAAAAACTGATGCTGCACATCATTGCAGATAGTAGCTAGTTTTACAATAACCTATTGCACAAAACTACATTCACTGCAAAAACAATCTAAAAATGAGTAAAGAGTTCTTAAAATGAGTGTATTTACCCTTAATTTGAGTATTTAAATAGTATGCCAATGGAATGAGCCTTTTTACTCTTAAAAATAGATAAGTGTATTGAATTTGGTGCAATATAAGTAAACTGATCTGAAAATTGAATTGAATAATTAGGTATTATCCACTTAAGAGACTGCAGGAGATTTTTCTTATTTTAATAAATTGTCTTATGCCATTGGCAAAGTTTCTTTTACCTGCTCAATATGAGAAAAAAGGCCTTTATTTTACGAAAAAACGACTTACTTTGATTTCTATATTTTTGCAGTGTTTGTGTTCTAATATTCTGTAAATGCATTTGTCTCTGAAGTGCCTGCAGTCAGCCTTCTAACAGAGATGCCACTCATATTCTGCTGATTGTATTTTTGAACCAGAATTCCCTTCACATGGCTGATCTCCTTTAGTTTCTAAACTCATGACTCTCTGGTTGTGAAACCAGAAACCCTTTCAAACAATCACATTTTTCTTAGAAAGAAAGAAATGGAAAAGTGCAGTCATCTTTCTTTTTTAGCCAGTAAACTGTCAGTGTGAAGCAACACGTGGGGGAGGGGGCACCGCCGCATTAGTTTGTCCTAGACAGATAAGATAAATGTTAGGAATTCTTGTTCAGGACTTTGAAGGAACATTGTGACAGAAAATGTTAGAGGTTTTTGATATGTTTACCCTTTAAAACCTTGATGATGTTGATGACTAGTAATTGTATTTTTGTAATTAGAAATTCTTTTCTCAAAACTAATCAAGACTCATTCTTTCTTCACTTTTCCAGCAGCCTGTCATCATCTAAGCATCCTGTCCAGCGTTTTGGTGGTTTACCTTCGCCTTCTGCTACTGCACATGGTAAAAACAAAAAAAAATGCTTTCAAACCTTTTATGCTCAGAAACACCAGAATGGAGACTAATTTTGAAAACAATAATTCATTGTCTTTTATTTTCCACAAGTTTTTGTGCTTTCCTCTCTTTCCTGAATAACTTCCCTTTTATTGATGTGTTTAGAAACCATCCAACTTGTCCAGTAAATTCGATGAAAGCTTTAAGTAATCTAATATATCCTGATGGTCTCATGGTTCAACTTTATTGCTCATGTTCTGTTCCTGCCAGCACTTTCCTGAGAAGACCGTGCTGAGATGGTGGAAAGTCTTAGCAGTTTTTCCTGTAGAAACAGCTGTTAATGGGTGGGGAGGAAGCTCACAAAAATAGGAAGTGAAATTTCGAGGAGCTGATTAAAGATTAGCTTTATCTAGGGTTTTTTTTTATTTTCCGGGAAGTTCAAGTACCGTTTTGAATTTTAGCCTTTGTTAAGACTGCAATGGCTTTCGGATTCCTTGCTATTTTAGCAAAAACTAAGCCAACAAAACATACATATCCTCCCCTCCATTGATCCCTTTGTTCTGGCTTTGTGTTTTTCAGTAGGACGCCCCTCCTCTGCAAATGAAACCACGGAGCCTCCATCAAAGAAAGAGGAGAAAAGGGTATTTTTTCCTCAATATTATCTGTTGCATTCAAAACGAATAGTCTTTTTATAGGTTTAACATTTTTTTTTTTGCGTTTGTAGATGAAAGCTGCAAGAGTCAAGTTTAATTTCCAGGCTCAGTCACCCAGGTGAGACATGTAGCAGGGAGGTCAGGCCTTCAGGCTACAATAATGCTACTGTACAATTTCATTTCGTAAAATGATTTTTTTCCCTCTTCTGTTTTTGTGATGTATATAGAGAGCTCACACTGCAGAAAGGGGACATTGTTTACATCCACAGGCAGGTTGATGCCAATTGGTTTGAGGGCGAACATCATGGGAGAGCTGGCATTTTCCCAACTTCTTATGTAGAGGTGAATATCTGTGCTGTTAAATTTTTTTCTCTTGAGCTTACACAGCCTTGCGAAGGTATTTTATGTTACAGACCAACATAAAATTGAGCATAGTTCTGTAATCTTCATGAACTCAACAAGAGCATAACCACCTTTTGCTAAATTCAAAGTCGCATTATTTTGTGCTATCTACCAACTTTGCTTGTCTAGAGGCCGAAAGTTTGGCCCTTTTTGTATTTAAAAATAGCTAAAGCTTAGTTTTATGGGATTGAAAGCATGAGTGAACTTATATACAGTATTTTGCCACAGTCCTAGCTGTTCTTGCAGTAGGGCTGGACTTTAACTAGACCATGGATCTGCAACCTGGGGCTCCGGTGGAT